CGAGCGCCTTATCCACCTGGCCATGCCGGGCCCAGTACTTAGTAGCCATGGCTGTGTTATAAGAGTAATGGTCAAATACCACTATTCGATGAGCAAGCTAAAGATTTGACGATGGATATTGTTGACTAATGCCTGCTGCTATACTGTCATTTCAAAATGAGTACAGGTAGCACAGATAATCCATTATTTAGCTTTGCGTCAATATCAGAAATAATCAAACAAATTTTTAACCAAATGAATGAGTTTAGAGAGTAGAAGTGTTTTTACTCTTTTTTTTTTCGCAGATAATAATAATTACCAAAATAAACATTAAATATAATTCCTAATAGCACATTCATTAACACAAAAGATATAATTATAACTGGATAAAAATAAAACTTGTAAGATATGTTAACTATATTGCGAGTTGGTTGATTGGAGGTTGTTTGTTCTTCAACACACGTTAATTATTTCGTAATAATTCCATAAAGATGTTTTATGTAAACATAGAAAAAGAAACATATTTAACATTATTCACTTTAAATTATTTTAGAACTACTGATGATTAATATAAATCAAGTGCAAATAAAAATTATAAACATTTATGCGTGCACATATCACTCCCGTTGCAGTTTTCTCGTTGTTGCACTAATTGTGTAACACCTCACAAGTTTTTCACCAAATGAATACCTAACTTAAAACAATATAAAAACAAAAATATTTTGGGGTTTTGGTAGAACTTTTATTTAATTTTAAGTTAAGAAGCATTTGAAATTTGGTAAGATAACTTTGATCTAAATTAAAAATTACGTATTAGATTTCAAATGGGCTGAAACTGAGTTAACTGACAACTGAAATTTAGTAGTTAAATTGTACTTTTGATTTAGTATTTAAATATATTCCGATATATATAGTCAGTTTATGTAATTTGCCAACAAGATTGATAAACACGGTTTTCTTTTTTAACACAAATACGTTTTAATATATATATACAACAATAAAATTCACAATAACAGTTATTACAAACAATGATTTATAAACAAACGTTTCACAAACTTACAAACAATATAAAGTCTTCTTTCTAGTTTGGAACTTCCTTGATATGTTATCGAGGATTTACGATGAGTGAGTTAATTACGAGTTGATGTAGGTACGATTCGCCGGGAAGCTAGCTAGCTTTGCCCTTTGCCACACACGCTGAGTTTTTCCACCGTTGAAGTTAGGTAACGTGTTCGTAAAAATACTAATATCCGAAGAAAATCCATTAAAGTTAAATGAGTTGTAATGTTCGAACTTTCTAAATGCTCCTGGTCAAATATTGGAAGTTTTCCGATTAGTAGGCGTTATAACAATCACAGTTATAGCTTTCGAAGTTTATAGCACACTAACTATAGCAAACTAATAATAGATACTCTCCCTGGCGCGTCGCATTGATTATATTTATAGCCGTGGGAAGGTTTTCTAGAGATTTCAGTTTTACATAACAATACTGAACTACACTTAATCGTTTACGTACACACACATATATTGTTAATTATTACTCTCGAGAATCTTCTACAACTTTGGAGAATAGACGGGAGTTTCGCAATACATATTTAACGGTACAAACTATGCATGTTGTCAAGTTAAAAGACAATAGGGTTAAAAAAAACAACGTAGTACCCAGACTACTTAATGATCCATAATATTGTTGGTTTGCGTAGCATGGTAAGAGTCACCTGATAAAACACGATTAACGCGGCCTCAAATCTAAACCTGGATAATTTTCTGTCGATTACTGACACAATTTATGTAGTGCATGACGAGACTAGTTATGCCTTAATAATGTCTGTAGTTTTCATATTGATCTCAGCGTTAATTAAAAACAAGAAACCGCTGAATCATCTCATTTTAACTTCTTCATCCAGAACAAACTTAAAAAAAAATTTGTTTCAACACCAACATTATTATGATTCACATTATCGTGACAGTAATAGAACTTTAATTGACTTCAGGTTTTGATCGATATTAAACGACTATTAGATAAAGAATTATATGGAAAATGAACATAAATGTTTAAAACGTCAATCGATTACATTAATAGAAGAAAGTTGTGATTATAGTGCCACTTAATCACTCAAAAGCTCATTTAAATACCTCTTTATGGAAGGTTCTCAAGAATCCAATTTGGTTTTTTCCCTTTTATATAATTCGTTGGAATTCTAGCAGAGAAAAAAATTACCCTTTATTAATATATACAGAAGTATAAAAAACATAAAACTCTCAGTGAAAATATAGGAAATCATAATGAAAAAAATAAACTAAAGTGTAAAGAAGAAATTTCAAACACTTATTCAAACCAATACGAAGAATATAGAATTAGGATATTCTGAACTGGTGCTAAACTCTAGTCAGTAAATGTTTGTTGCAATAGACTAAATTAGATCAAATTTCATGTGTGCGTGTTAGAAAAATCTATTATATTCTAACAATATATCATATTAAAGTTGACACAAATTTCCTGATCAATA